TTTTGCATTGTTAGGATATCGCACCACCATTCGTACCTCGGTGGGGGCGACTCCTTACTCATTGGTATATGGTCAAGAGATATTGTGTATGATTTCTTTATTCTCTGAATGTACCTGTTTGTATTTGGCATATCTTAAAGATTAAAATGACAAAGGCGTTTTGTCCTACTATCCAAACACTCTTATCCCTTGTTATCCCCTTTGAGCCTTACTTATTTTTCATACCCCTCTTTCGGAATCAACAACACTATCAGGAAACACAGGTGCCGAACATAAGAGAAAGAAGAGAAAAACAAAAAGGGAAAGAAAGAAGAGAAAAACAAAGGAAAAGGAAAAGAAAGAAAAGAAAAGAAAAGAAGAAAAGAAAGAAGAGAAAAACAAAAGGGAAAAGAAAGAGAAAGAAAAGGAAAGAAAGAAAAATACAACAACAAAAGTTATAATACAGTGAACTACGTTTGACTTGATCCCGAAAAGGGTACGTAGGCAGCCTTACTCCGAGGTTCAGTCATACCAAAATAGAAACCCAAAAATCCCCAAGCAAGAAACTGGGGCAGAAGTTGTGATTTTTGTGAAAATTGGATTCCGAAAGTTGTAATTTAAAATCCATTTGAATTGTTTTGAGCCTTTCATACCTTTCTTTTTAACTCAATCCGAAAGCCTACATTACGGTCCAAAGAAAGACCTTTTCATCAATTTTTAAGAAATGCCAGGTCGAGCAGGTAGCGGTAATTCGTATCAGTGGCGGCACTCTGGTTCAAGCAAGAAAGAACGAAAGTAAAAATGAGAGTCTTATTGGTGAAAACCTTCACAGGCACCATAAGGCGACGAGAGCTGAGAGAAAATAAATGAGAGAGTTTTATTGGTGAAAACCCTCGCGGGCACCTTGAGGCGAAAGTGAGTTGGAAAATGTTTGAATGGCAAAAGGTCTGTGGGTGAAGAAATGTTTCGAGGTACCGCAGGAAAGCAAAGTTAAGGTCTGGGTAATTCAAACAAATGATGGAGGTTCTGGGCAACAAAGTATGGCAATTGAAAGCCGGTTATATGGACAGATTGGGACGATCAATTCAAAACGCATGTCATAATCATGGGTACCAGCTGGCTTGCTCAGATAAGTTTCTTTTCCTTCCTTTTTTGAAACAACCATCTGGTTTTGGATTCTTCTTATCCTTGACTCAAAAATCATCGCATTTCATTTTCTTTTGAGGGTTTTATCTAGTTGAGATGTTTCAGTACTAGGCTTGGTCAATGAAAGCAGAAAGGACTTCAAAGCTCACTATCGATTTCTGGAATTGTAAAGCACAACGTGGTCAGAGCATGACAAAAACAACTTGATGTCAAGTGGAACACAGGGAATTAACGGAAGTTTCATTAGTGAAATGATTGGGGAATGTCGTGGGAAAGGAGAAAGCTTAAATAAAAGGTCAGAAATGAAATAACAGCAATGGGTGTAAAACATTTAGGTCGATGGATGTTGGGAAATTTAAAAGTTGGTCAGAAAGTCAAGCGGTTCAGGGACAGTGCGTGGAAGGCAATCAACACAAGGCAAGGCAGTGGAAGAATTTTTCAGCAAGAAGGCCATCAACTAACCACCATTTTAAACTGACGGAATTTTCTTTGATTGTAATAGGGGCAAAAAGTTAGCCGTTGAGAAGGAATTCTCCAAGAAGGAATAACAAGCGGTAATTAGGTGTGATCGCAAAGTGCAGTTTGATTAAATACAAAGATAATTTTGAAATGCATAAGGGGAATGGAATTTGTTTGCAAAGTTTGCATGATTAGAATAAAGTGCAAGTTGTCAAGACCTTCCTGGATAATAGGACGTAGTTCATATACCCGGGTAAGATACCTTGGTACAGTGAAAAGTAACACCTTAAATTCAAGTTTTGGAGCAATCAGGAGCCCGCATGGATAACGGAGGAATACATTCAATTTCAAATTCAGAAATCAGGAGTCCGCCTGGAGAATAGAGACATACAATTTAATTTTAGTAATCAGGAGTCCGCCTGGAAAATAGAGACATACAATTTAATTTTAGCAATCAGGAGCCCGCCTGGATAATAGAGGAGTAGTTTCAATTTTAGGTTCAAAAGTCAGGAGCCCGCCTGGAAAATGGAGGTGTTAAATATTTTTAGCAGTCGAAATCAGGAGCCCGCCTGGAGAACAAAGGTGATATAATTCAATTTTAGTTTTCAATCAATCTCTTTGTTTATTCTGAAGACAGGAGCCCGCCTGAAGAATAGAGGCATGCGATTCAAGTTTCGGAGGTCAGGAATCCGCCTGGAGAATAGAGGTATTATAATTCAAGTTTTAGATTTTAAAATCTCAGCCAGTAACATGTGCTCAGTTTTCAAACTGGGGCAGAAAGTTTTCGTTGTTGTGTTTGTGTTGTGAAGTCTGGAGCCCGCCTGGATAACAGAGGAATACATACAGTTCAAGTTTCAGAAGTTGGGAGTCCGCCTAAGGGAATAGAAATATGGATTTTATCGAGAAAGAACAAGACAACAAGGCAACAAGGAAGTACAAGAGCAAGTTTGAGAATTTAGATAGGATTTTCATAATTCATAGAGCATAGTTAGTTTAGCTTCTTTTATCTTTGACATGGTGTAATAAGGGAGGTCAGCAAGCAGTAACAGCAGCAGTAACTGTCGCACCTCCTTTTTCCGCGCCCGCAGGAGGGGCGTAGGGAGTTTTCTCCAATTAAAGGACAGTCGAAACGGGATTTGTTTATTTGTTTCAGAGTCGCCACCTGGGAATTTTAAGGCGTCCCAAGTCACCGGTTTTAATCCCTGAATCGAGGAGAATATGACTCTGTTTGTCATTCTGCGAGCCAGAAATCCGGATAAGGAATTATGTTAACCCGGGAGAAGGTGTTAGGCATTCCCGAATTCCGTGGTTCTAACACGGTCGCTTAACCATTTTTATACTTTGCTTAATTATCTTGATTTACTAAATACATTTTTCTTGTTGCTCGACTTTATTACCGCTTTTGTTTAGATTGTTTTTTAGTTAAAGATTTTCTTTGAATCGAATCACGCGTACGTATATTCATATTATATATTTTATATATATTTTTTTAACGTGAGGAATCGTGTCACGCATACGTGTACATAAAAAGGTTGATAATATTTTTTATATTTTTATTATAAAAAATACCATACGTTCGAAATTAAAAATAAAATTAAGAACATCATCGCCCTTGTATGATTAAACAATGAACTGCACATCTCGGGTTTTTATGAAATTAATTTGATATTCTCCGACAAATCCCATTTTATTAAATATTCGCTCAAAGTTGCGCGAACACATAATCCGAATTGCTTTTAGAAATATAATCAGGTTACGCGAACGTATCCCTAATCACTAAAAATATTCTTGATGGTAGTATAAATTTGTTTACAAATTGTTTATTACATCCATATTATTTTTATGTGAAAGTCATGGTAAATCACAATTTGAGACGCCTATAAATTTCTTAAAAAGGATTCTCAATTTATTAAGTGTCAACCACAAATTATATATTTTTTTTTCGTATGAATTATATTCCTCAAAAACCATTCGCATTTAACGAGTAGAACAAGAATATTGTTTGTGGGTAATACTACCATTTTTTTTATCATGAATACAACACTAGTATATAAAAATTTCGAATCATATATATAACTGGGAAAAGAATTAATTCGATAAACAAATTAACAGTTTCCAAAGAATTTTCATTATTTATATTTAGTGCAAACTCTATTTCTACATACCATTGATATAAAATGTTGCAATTCGTGCTTATACATCCCATCTCATTCTCATATACTTGTTTTTAATCCAAAGTTATAATTGCTTAGTTAATTTGTTTANTATATAACTGGGAAAAGAATTAATTCGATAAACAAATTAACAGTTTCCAAAGAATTTTCATTATTTATATTTAGTGCAAACTCTATTTCTACATACCATTGATATAAAATGTTGCAATTCGTGCTTATACATCCCATCTCATTCTCATATACTTGTTTTTAATCCAAAGTTGTAATTGCTTAGTTAGTTTGTTTACAATGGTAGATAAGAGTCAAGTTGATAAGAAAAAGAACTATTATACAAATTGATTCAATAAAATTGCATCACATGCAATATAGTTGTACGTCTAAACCATTCCTAATATTCTAACCTCGTAACGAATTATATCAACTCACCTTTCACTTATGGTTATACATGTAACTGTTATCACGCCATGTACGAACAACATACAACTTACATCAATCTAGCTTTAAATAAAATCGGACTTTTGTGACAAAATATGCTAGTAATGTAGTTTCTTGATACTTCCATACTATTTCATACTTAGCCAACAATATCATAAGATTTAATTAATGGCTAGCTTTCTGCCATGTTCCCTATCTTATAATTTGAATATAGCTATACTTAATGAAATTCTGAAATAAATAACATTATTACAAAGCTTATGCGAATTTCAAAGGGATGATTAACTAACAGTTCTCACATCAAATGTAAGCTACTATATTAACCAACCGAAACAAAACTGAAATTTAAACTAATAGATTTAAACGAGTAAAAGACATAATTATAATTCCGAACTTCATTTATTTGGCAATGTTGAAGCTTTCCACAACATGAGTCTAAAATATATACCTGATATTGGAAGCAAAAGAAAATGAAGATGAGAATCAGCACCAATAATAATAGTACAGCACAGCAACAACAGCCCAGCAACAGTAACAACCCAAGAAAAGAGTTTGCAAACCAGTAGAGCAGTAATCCCAAAAACAAAAGCTTCAAGCTTTGAGTGAAACAACAACAATTAATACTGATTTAAAACAAAGAAAGAAAGCAGAAGATTTTTTTTTAGTTTTTATTTTTATTTTGAAAGCTTAAATATTTTTCGGAATTTTTCTTTCTCTTAAATGTTCAGCCCTTTTTTTTCTCTCTCTTATTTTCTTTGTGTTCTTCTCAGATTCGTTTTCCCTCTATCTGTGTTTGTTCTCCTGTCTATCTGTCTGTGTTCAAGACTTCCTATATATAATCTTATCCCATAAATCTTTTAATCAATTAAAATCAACCCATTTTCTCTACCAAACCCATTATTTTCCCACTCATCCCCATTACATTAAATAAATATATCACACCACCCCATTATATTTTGTCCCCCATACCTAACATAAACAAATACAAGATTCCCCCACACTAAAATTTGTCTTGTCCCCCCTTATATTAAATAACTATATCACAACCCACCCCATTTCATTTTGTCCCCCATGCTTCATATAAAAAATTACAAAAATGTACAATTCCTAAACTACCCCTCCGACCTTA